ATATATAATTGAGAATGATATTTTAATGTAGAGTTGAAATCATTATGGTGGACTTAGTGGTGAATGATTATAATATTATATACAGGATTTTAAGTTGATCTTAAGTTTATTATTGTAATTTTTAATGAATTTTTTTTAATAAAAATGGGTTTAATTTGGAGTTACTCATTTGAACTATTAAATGAGTTTAGTTAGGCTAAAAATTTTAATTCAATCTAAAATAAAAAAATTGGTGTCTAGTGCTTAAGTAATATTAAAAAATAGAATTTAATTTATGTTGAAATTTTGATGAAGTTATTGAAATTTTAATAAATAAAAACCTAATATATTAACTCATCGGATTAATTCAATCTTAAAATGATTTAATTCAATTTTTTTTTTGAGATTATGGTAGGCTGATTTTTTTTTTTTGTATTAATAGTGATTTAATAGCATTAATTATGGTTTTGAACTTATTGATGTTTTTTTAGTTGAGAAAACTTATTGATGTTAATGAACTAAAATATATTAATATTTATAATTTTGATCTTGTATTCATTAATATTACGTATTTTCTATCGAACACAGATAATTTTGATCTTCTAAGGTCATAATTTAATGTTTCAACTATAAGTGAATTTTACACTGAGCTAATTAATACATAATTTTTGGTAAAAAAAAAAAAGAGTTAATGTAGTTATATAATTATATTTAAATGATTTATGTTTTTATCTGTTTATCTAATAGACAACCCGTAAGTAATTCTTTTACAATGTATTTTTCATTTTTTATTATCTAAATTACGATGGATCAATTCAACTCAACACTCACTCACCTAATATCAAGATGGGTTCACCTAGTATTAATTTTAACATATGTTATGGGATTAGATTAAATTTAGGACTTACGCACCCATATTTCAGGTGGTATTTACATATCACACCTCTTGCATGAAAGGTGAAGAGTTCATGTTTTACATGGGTGTTTATGTTTTAGACACACCTTCTTAATTACTTGATGATGTTTTCATATTTGTACTCCAGCGTACGCATGTTGCATGGCACCATGCAAATGACGCACTTGATATATATACTATCCTCTAGTTATTAAGGACTATCCCTTTGAAAAGTTGTTGATTACAATTGAACCAAAGAATATCTAACGAGTAATTAGTGGTAACACATTATGGGATTTATAACAAATTTTCCGGCCATTGAAGCCATCAATCAACACCGCTAGGAGGCTGAATATCACTCATGCCTAGTATACTCCAAACCTGGGAAGTACTTCCACAATGAAATAAAACGTTTCTTACATTTTATAATTTGATAACTAACAACGAAAAACATAAATATTATAACTTAGGATTATAATATATATGTATATATAGAAAATAATATCGATTGAAAATATAAATGTTTCTCAATAAAATTATATCATAATCTTATATATATAT